TCCCAGGACTCTGGGAGACTGAGACAGAATTACAAGTTCAAGCCTATCCTGGGCAACTTAGTGACTTAGCAAGAACCTGCCTCGAAATTAAAAACAAAAATTAAAAAGGCTCAGGATGCAATTCAATATACATTTTGAAACATCTTTCTTTTTTAGTTTTCAGTTGTTTTACACCTTTAATGCAGAAAAATTGAAAATATTTACAATATCAAATTTCTAAATTGTTGTTATTGTTGTTGTTTGATACAAGGTCTCACTATATAGCCCAGACTAGTCTCAAACTTGTGGAAGTTCTCCTGCCTCAGCCGCCCTAGTTCCGGGAGTACAGGGTGTGTCACCATGCCCAGCTTCTAAATCTTTTCCCGTGCAGCTTTTGGTTTTGCTTTCATGTTCCTAGGTAGCAAGTTTTAAATAACCCCCATGACATTCCCTGACAGCTGAGACCTAATATGTATATATTTTTTGGTACCAGAGATCGAACTCAGGACCTTGTGCTTGAGAGGCACACTGAACTAAATCCCTGGCTGAGACCTAATATTAATTGGAGAGGGTTATAGAGATATTTCTCTGCCCACCTAGCTAGTGACTTTTACCTTTTTATTTCCATTTTTTTTTTACTGTGACTATGATAAGAAATATATTTTATATTGCACAAATAATATCTATTTTAAAATATTTCACGAAACATTGCTTACCCTGCCTCTATGTGGTAGTCTAAAATTTCCAAGTAAGAAAGTCAAACAGAGTAATTTTATTCTATTCTATTTTTTTAAAAACTAGAGGCTGGGCTGGGGATTTAGCTCAGTGGTGCTGATACCTGCCTCACAAGTGCAAGGGCCTGAGTTTGATCCCCCGTACCAAAAAAAAAAAAAAAAAGAGGCTGAGGGTGTGACTTGGAGGTAGAGTGCATGCTTAGCATGCATGAGGCCCTAGGTTCAAGCTCCAGCACCAAGGGAAAAAGAAGTATTGGTCTTGACCCAATTATTTTTTATTTTTTTATTTTTTTGGTACCAGGGATTGAACTCGGGACCTTGCACTTGCGCGGCAGGCAGTGGAACCACTGAACTAAATCCCTGGCCCTTGACCCAATTATTAAATTGATTTAATAATCCATCAAGAGGATTTTAACAGAGAGTTTGAAAACCAAGACCATGAAGAGGGTGATTTTTGTTCTCCAGTCTCACCTGCTTCCATGCCACTGTTGCTCGTCCCACTGCAGAAGGTGATGGACAGGTCAGACAACCATAAATCCACAGAGGACCCTGAAGGCTTGTGTCTGGCCACTCAGGCTGAACTAAGCTTTGATTGATATCTAACAGGCGAGAGCCCAAACTTGGTTTTGAATTTCAATCCTGAGGTTGAGCACAAGGTTCCTTCCAGTTGCACAGCCCTGAAACCCTCACCCTCACCCTCACTTTCCTCACTTTAATGCACTGCTAGAAAATTCCTCTTGTCCACTGTGTGATCTGGGACTTGGCACCAAATGGTCGTCAGGATTTGCTCCAGCTCAGCCATTCTTGCAATTAGAGCCCACTCTTTTCTTGGGCAGAGAAATTAATCTGGTGCATTCTTTGCACATACATTTGGACTGGCACGGGGAAGCTGGCCTTACCCCGTGAGGAAGGAGAATAATTAGGTGATTTACTTTCAAGAAAAAGGCTGATGACACTGTCATGGGCTAGCACTGATCCTTACTTTGATAACAGAATTAAAACTAGGCTGGATGGGCCGGGGATTTAGCTCAGTGGTTTTGCTGCCTGCTGTGCAAGCGCAAGGACCCGAGTTCGATCCCCAGTATCAAAAAAACCCCAAAAACCTGGGCTGGGTATATAGCTCAGTGGCACTCTGCCTGCCTCGAGAGTGCAAGGTCCTGAGTTCAATCCCAATACCAAAAAGAAAAGAAAGAAAGAAATTAAAACTGAGGCAAAAATTTGCAGGAAAAAAGGCTTTAATTGGAAAGCAAGAGAAAATGGTAAGCTGGGCACGGTGGCGCATGCCTGTAATTCCAGTGCTCAGGAGCCTGAGGCAGGAGGATCACCACAAGTTTGAGGCCAACTTGAGCTACATAGTGAATTTAAGGCCAGAGTGAACTATTTAACGAGACTCTGTCTCAAAACAAAACAAAACAAGGCCCAGGGATTTAGCTCAGTGGTTCTGCCTCCTGCCTCGCAAGCACAAGGTCCCAAGTTCAATTCCCAGTACCAAAAGAAAAAAAAAAGAAAGAAAAAGATAAAGAAAAAAAAAAAAACCAAGAGAAAGCGGTAAGGAACTTTAGCTTGAGGAGCCAACAAAGATCAAGCTGGGTCTTCACTTAACAAAGGATAGTAAGAGAATCTAGGAAAAGGACTCAAACTGGTGCAGCTGGAGGGAGCACACTCTGAGGAAGAGTGTCCGGTTGGCCTGTGGACAAAAGAACAGAGCCCAGTGCTCTGAGGTGCATCGGTGGGCTGGGGGCTGGTTGATCATTATCTCAGCCCTGGATTCATAGGCAGAGCAATCCTTGTGACTTGAGGGGAGTTTGGTTCTCATGGGGGCGATCGGATCCTGGGGTGGGCTGCAGGGCTGTGCTCTGCCTGGAACCTAGGTGATTACAGCTTCAGGACAAAGCCTGGAGACTTCTAGGTATCACAGGGGGGCGTAGGTGCCATAAACCTGGTAATGATTCCTGCAAATCCTGAAAACTAGTTACTCTTATCTTGGTGTCCTCCATTTTAAAGGGAAATGAGATGATAGGTTAGGTATATTTACAATTTAGAAATCTTGTTTTGCCAACTTTTCCTAAATGGTTACCATATCTATATCCAAAGTTTTACAACAATTAAGGATATGAAACGAAGGTCAAACTTCGTCTTGCGTTTAGTTACCTTTTCGGTATCTGCCTATAGGCCCAAAGTGAAGGGTCATGGTTTTAGCAAAACTGCTTTTAAGTCCCTGATTGCTCCACAAGAAAACACAAATCATGCTTTTAATGAGTAACAGGTTAAGGGCACAGGAATTTGTCTGCCCTCTGACCCTTTGGTGGTCTCTGACTGTGTCAACCTAAAATAAAGAAGCAAGGAGGGTCAGGGTCAGGGATTTAGCTCAGTAGTTCTGACACCTGTCTCACAAGTGCAAGTTCTCGAGTTCCATCCCTGGTACCAAAAAAAAAAAAAGAAGAAGCAAGAAATCCATGAGGAATCCCTCAGAAGACACATCAACCTAGGGACTGAGGTCTGGGGACTTGAATTGAAAAGTCCCTGTTCTCTATGGGATCTCCTAATCTTCACCTCACCTCAGTACTGGAGACTGAACCTGAGAACTACCCCCCTGCCAACCCTTTTCATTTTTATTTTTTTTACTTTGAGACAGCATCTCACTAAATTTTTCAAGTTGGCCTGGAATTTGCAATCCTCCTGCCTCAGCCTCCTGAGTAACTGGGATCACAGGCATGGGCCACCATGTCTAGCAATTTACCAACCTGTTCTGGGCCAAGTCAAAACTCCTCTATGCCTCATTTTTCTCATCCATAAATGGTTATAATAATGGCAGCTTTCTCAGGATTGTGGAGAAATATAGTTGAAATCTGCAGCAGTACAGTGCTAAGCAGTGGTGGTTGTGATTTGTATTGAGACCTTTTTGATTTTTGAAAAGTCGTTGAACTATTGGCCATTGAATTTGGATAATGCTTTGTGCCTATGGTTTAACTACAGTTAGAGTTAATGGTTTTAATAGTTTTTTTGTTTTTTTGTTTTTTTTTTTTTTAGACAGAGTCTCTCTATGTAGCCCAGGCTGGCCTTGAACACAGAGCAATCTTCCTGGATCTTCCTGCCTCAACCTCCTGAGTGCTGGGATCATAGCCTTGTGCCACCATGCCTGGCAATGATTCTAACAGTCTTGAAAGGGGTTCTGGAATTTAGGCCAGGCACCTCTAGCAATTGCTATTTTTAGGATTGACGGTACATGTGCAAGTTTTTATGCAGTGAACAAAACACAACTGGGCCGAGTCAAATGCACGGCATATATTTTAATTTCCCTTCCTACAGAGCTATCCGGGCTTCCTGTAGAGCAATCACAGCCTGCCTTGCAGGCATCTGTGAGCTTTTGGGATGGTGTCCCCTGCCCTGAGCAACCCTTCATCCACTAAACACCCAAGGGTGTCTTTGGAAGAGAAGCTCTAGAGCAGCAAGCTAGGCACAGAGATGAGTTTTAGTCCTTCAGGAATACAGCGAGGTCAAGATGGCAGAGACCCTGTGCAAACCCTGATAATGGTGAGACTGTGAATGGAGCAACATAAAAGCTCAGGCAAAATTTATAGCTCAGAACATTTCCATGATGCCTTCTCTAGGGTACAGGGTGCTCCTGTGGCCCTTTTCCTTCCCCTGGATAATGTCCTGCAGGAGCATGGGGTGGGGGCTTGTCTGGCCCTCAAGGGCTTTCCCTTCTCTCAGAAGAGCCAATGGCTAGAATAGGCTCAGGGCTGTGTCAGGCCCGCTCCCTGCTTGGCTGGGGAGAGCTGAGAAGGACTGCAGGTCCCCAACCCTGGCAGGCAAACCAGAGTCTCTCCTGGGAATTAGAAACCTGAACAGAGCCTCTCTGAGCCTGGCAAGCTTGAGGAGTGTCACATGAGCCATGGAGTTGTAGAAAGAAAGTCCCCTGGCTGCCCCGGTCCCTGCCTGTCTGCTTCAGTTTGTTATTCTACCTTTAGTCTCTGGGCCATGCCAGTCTCCTTCCATGAAGTCACATTAGGACTAGGTGGTCAGAGTTGCTTCTGGAGAACTCAAAAAACAAGCAAAAAATCCAACTCAAACCAAAACAAGCCAGGAACCATTATGAATATTACAGCATCTAAGGAGTAGAGACATGGTGAGGTGCAGAGGGCATGAACTTTGGTCCTTTGTTCTTTGAAACTTTTTCCATACCCAGAATAGTTTTGAATCTTGGTTTCCAACTGGCCTGCTGTATAAGCTTATGCAAGCTTCCTGAGCCTTAATTTCCTTGACTATAAAGTGGGAATCACCTACCTCATAAAATTGGTTTGTTAGGCCTGGGATTTAGCTCAGTGGCACCGAGACTGCCTTGCAAGTGCAGGGTCCTGAGTTCGATCCCTAATACAAAAAAAAAAATGGGTTTGCTGATTAGTCAAGTGACATTTCTTGTGGTTACTCAGTGGTTATTTTTGCTTATTTCCTAACCAGCAGCTGTGTGACAAAGAGCTAAGACCTATGGAGATTAGTGACATAAGGATTCTTTAAATATTAGTACATTTTTTAAAAACACCAAGAATACTTAATTCTTTCTTTTCTATGTATTTCTAAGAATAAGACATTTTAATACTTTCCTCTTTTTCTTTTTTGGTAAGTGGAAATCAAGTCCTCATGCATGCTAGGTAAGTACTTTATCCCTGGAATGTAAACTAGTACAACCACTGTGGAAATCAGTATGGAGATTTCCAAAACAACTAAAACTAGAAATTCCATTCAACCCAGCTATTGCCCTTCTAAGTATCTACCTGAAAGACTTTAAAACATAATATTACAATGAAACATGCATACTTATGTTTATAGCAGCACAGCCATAATAGCTAAATCTTGGAAGCAGCTTATATGTCCATCAAAAGATAAATAGATAGGGCCAGCTCAGTGGTATTGCTCCTGCCTGGCATGTCCAAGGCCCTGAGTTCGATCCCCAGTATAAAAAAAAAAAGATAAATAGATAAAAAATGTGGTATATATACACAAAAGAGTACTACTTTGCCATAAAGAAGGATAGACTTGATTGTTCGTTTTTGCCTCTGGGGATCGAACTCAGGACCTTGTGCTTGCAAGGCAGGTGGTGGAACCAATGAGCTAAATCCCCGGCCCAGGCAATTCTAAATATTTAATAATAAATAAATAAATAAATAAATAATAAATTCTAAATATTTAATAATTTATGTTTTATAAAAAAGTATCACGTGGGGCTGGGGATTTACCTCAGTGGTGCTGCCGCCTGCCTCGCAAGTGCAAGGTCCCGAGTTTGATCCCTGGTACCAAAAAAAAAAGTATCATGTGAATAAAAGCACTTTCAACCCCTTCTTCAGACCACCTGGCTGTTTTCTTTTCTGGTTTGAAAACTATTGTAGTTTTCAGTGTGAATAGGGTCAAGCTGTGAGCAACTTTGAGCTCTGCCCCAGTTGGTGCTGAAAGTAGCTTTAGAGATTGTCTGCTTCAATGACTTTGGCTACCTGGTGCCCAGTTAGCTGGTCATTCAGGCATCAAACCTGTAATGCGCCTTTGTGCCAGGAACTGGAAAGGGACTTGGAGCAACAACACAGCCAGAGGTGGCCAAGGCACCATCATTTCTTTGGAGCTCATTGCTGCCCAGATGTGGACACAGGACAATATGAGAAGGGTCTCTGCAGGCACAGATCTTCATGAGATGAGATTAAGAAATGGAGCCTGGGACCAGATTTTGAAGATCGTCAAATGCCAGGGGGAAGAATTTTGATTTTCTTTTTTCCACTAGTGGAGGCAGCAAGGTGGGAGTGGGGGTGGAGTCCAATGTGTGCCGTGCAGAAGGTTAGTGGGCTGGGAGGCTGCAGGACAAAGCTCAGAGAGAGGCCAGTTGGGCTTGGCAGCTTGAAATCATTAAGTGGACTGGAAGTGGAATCTGTGCACTGGAGTCTGGCACTCAGGCAAGGCAAGTGCTCTACCACTGAGCAACATCCGCATCCACACCTCTTAATAGCTTTTTGCTTCTTTTACTTTTTTTTTTTGGTACCGGGCATCAAACTCAGGTCTCGTGCTTGCCAGGCAGACCCTGT